ATCTGAACCGTAGAATTGTCAAATCGATTCAAATTTGGAGTTCCCAGTCGAATCCAATCGGCTTGGCACATCGAATTGAGAATCGCCTTAACCAATCAAAACTCATTATTTCGTTTTCCTTCAACTGCTGCACTGACTATTACGGCGATGGAGCTCACACAAAGCACCCCACCGAGTCACCGATAGATACAACACACGGTCTTCCCAGTCACCACCAGCTTCGACAGAGCAACCTGCCACGAATCTGTACCGAATGCGAGCCGACGTTGTCGTCAAGGAGACCGTCTATGGTCGAGACCACAATGGAAAGCAACACCAACCGTGTTCGAGGGAGCGTCTTGGGAGGTGATCAAGGAACAGATCTTCTTGCTTGCACGTCCGAACATTGTGTTATTGGCAAATCATGAGTCCGACCCGACGAGCTAACTCTCAACGACTTAATGTTCATCACCAAAAATCAATAGTCTTCAGATCTGTAGGGTGTACTTATTTTAGTAGTTTTGGAGGCAATTCGATTCAGCAAATCGACTCAGAAGGCCAAATTTCACTGAAAAAGACAATCAATTGATGAGGGGATAAATAGGCATAGCAGAGGGTTCTTGTGTGATCAGCAGTGTCCAGTCCGTCTTGAACGGTGGTCAAGATACGTCGAAATCGGCATGCTGAGGGACCAAATCGTGTTTGTGGACTCTGGAGGCAGTCTAGCTTGGTGAGTAGTCCTACGAGGCCGCATCCGGGTCGTAGCAGTCGCTAGTTTTCGTAGTGCGACGGTGAGAGACGCGGGAGGAGGCACGAGAGCTCGGAATTGCTTGTTGGCCAATATGCGGAAAATTCACGCCAAAATCCAGCGCAGCGAGGAAATGGCTGCGGTTTTGGGGTCCAAAATTGGTAAGCGTACTTGGGGAATGGTGGCCATGCAGGGACAAGTCGTGATTGGGATGACGGGGCAGCAGGAAGGGGTTTAGGTATCGAGAGGGACGAAATTTTTGGTAATTTTGGACGAAAATCGGGAGTGACTTGGGACTGGGGAGAATGGAGGAGTTCGTTGTGTTGGGCGGAGAGTTGTGGGATAGCGTGTTGTGTGGTAGTCGGGAAGATTATTGAAGAGCTTGTGGGGGTGTTTGAGCGGCGGCGGAGCGGAGTAATGGCTTGGAGGTTGAATTTGGTGGTTCTGACGACGGTCGCGTGCAGGATGTGCTGGTATCGAAATGCGCAGAAATTAACATTTTTGTGTGGAGCGCGTGACGAGTGAGACTGTGAGCTTGTGTCAAAAGTTGGAGGTCGAGGAGCACTTGGAAAGGTAGCATTGGGACGGCGATTGATTAAGGCGTGTTCGAGTTCACGAACCCGAGGCCATTTTGGGAGCACGACGGGACGGGGGAGGATGTGACGGTAGGAGCGAAAAGCCTTGAAATCTTGGCGGGAGTTGTGCGGTGTGTCGTGGGATAAAGGGACATATTGACGCGACGTGAGGCAACGCGTAGCTGAGGGGTCGCGGGTAGCGGCGGGGTCGGAAGCGAGGAGAGGGCGGAGAACGGGGGATTTTGATTAGGAAGCAACGTTGTGCTTCCACCAGTAGTGACGGTCTAATGAATCCAGTACGCGGTGGAGTGAGAAGCGCAATGGATCATCCAGAGAGGTAGCGAGAGCGTGCTGGAGCTGGCGCTTGGTGACTAGTGCGGTGCGCATGGCAATGTCGCGGGAAGATGCGATGGGTAGGTCCGGCCGCAAAACACGGTCATTTCGGGCCTTCCAGGCCGTGTACCAGAGGAATGCTTGGAGGATCGGCCAGATAAAATTGGCGCCTTGAGTGTGGGAGTTGTTGCGGGACTTGATCGGCTTGAACAAGCAATCGTTCTATGTGTACTGGTCTTGTGACGCCGAGAGTAGTGAAAACCATAGAGAAAATGGCGCACGAGGATTGGATGGTAGGGCAGTCGAAGAGGAAATGGCAGTACGTCTCAATCGCGGGACAAGCCGGGCAATTGCGTGAGATGGTGTCAGAGTATGCGAAACTGCATCGGAATGGTATTGCCCGGATCAGCAGTCGATACACAAAGTCGCTGTAAGTGGGCAGAATTCTTGGCGGTTCGCGGAGGTCTTGCAGTCTTGAAATATTGGCCGGTTTTGTGTAAAAATCGGGGCCAAGGAGGAGGTGACGGCTTGGGGCTGCGTGAAGTTGACAATTGACTTGGGGAATTCTTGGGCGAAATGGTGCGGTGAATTGTTGGCAAAAATTTAGCCACGCTGGGTGAGATGGCGCTTGAAATCATGGATGCTGTGGCACGATATCTTGAGCTTCGTCTGTCGCGGGAGGAAGATATGATCGTAGTTTGGTGAATAAAGCACTGAGCCAT